TCCAGCGATTCGCTAGCCAGTCGCTCGATTCGCAAACTATGACATCGGTTTAGATTGGCTACACTCCCCCTGGCTCACGAATTCCCCGATTCTCGTGACAGTATAGTAGCGGGCAGCAGTCCCTTTACATACATTTCTGTTCAAAAAATGCGGCGTGCCCACCCTACTTGTATAGCACCCCTCTTTGTCGATACGTATCGTTTCATCGTTCAAACTATCATGATTTTCGCAGTCGCAAAGTATGAACGCAGCATTAACGATCGAAACACGTGCTGCGCGCAGATGAGGCTTAGCGGGTAATTAAGGCGTATATCGATACAGCATTACGGCTGCAGTAGTAGTACAGCTCCACTTCCGCCCACGCCTCTATTTTCGAACTTCGTAAAAATAGATGTAACACGAGAAGCATTTGGAAAAAATGGTAAAGGGATAAAAAGGAAGCATTTGTTCCCTGAGAAGCCCACAATAAAACATCCGAAGTGTCCGAAAAGCATCGGAACCGACCGTAATTAGCTGGCACGAGCCCTTTTTTGCCGCCACATGCCGCCGGCAGCCAATCGTCATTTGGTCCGCTATCGCTCACATACAGCAGATCCCCCTCGGCGAAACTCATCTCTTGATCCTAAATTTAGATTTTACAAATATTTGAATCTCATAGCTTTCCATTTGTAAACTTCACTCTCCGTTTTTTTTTCCTCGAAGTTTTTCGACTAAAGAGGAAATCTTATTACGAAGGAGTGCGCAAGTAGTGATGAACTTTTTGTATAATGTGACCGCCAAGAAAAAGACGCGTTGAATTCATCAAAACGAAGCTTCACTTGAGCTTCCCCCCCCCCCTCCCGACTGCTACCTTATTTGCATGTTCATTTTTTGCATTGTAATTGTACACAATTTATTCTGTTTTGCGCAATAACTTCTGCTTCATGATAATACTCACCGTTCTGGCTTCATAATCGTAGAGGGCTCGATAAACCCTGACCCGGCCGGGTTTCGGTGCTGGCCTCGGAGGTGCTGTCATCAGTGTTGACGCGCGAACTGAGACTCGACGTCATTCATTCGAATCGATCGATTCGACAAGTCTTTCGACCAAATACGACTGAACCGTCCCAGGTGAGTCATACTCTCGGAAAATAATGTGAAAGCTTAACATTATCTTGTTTGTAGAAGCAAAACAATCGCAGAATTACGTATTCCGGTTTTCCGAGCACAATTTTCAAGGTCTTCGGAGCGCTATTATGATTTTTTTAGTTCAAAAGCGAAGTTTTGGAGGCAGCAAGTTCACTTCCAATACTTCACTATAAAATCTTTAGACACAGCATGACTCTGAGGAGTTTTCGAGAGCGCATTAAAAGTATTCTATTTGAAGGATGGATAATATTAAAAGAGAATAGTTTTCGGGCGTCGGCATTGTTGGTTTCGTTTTCAGATTTGTATATTTCAGAAATGGAACAAGAAGACGATGAGCCATCTGAGGACGAGGAGTTTCTACGTGAAGCCAAGAAAATTATCGATGACTTCGGAAGAGGCGTGGAGGTGAGTTCAGCAGCACTTTAGGCAAACATTTATCGATTCACTTGAAAAAACCTCATTGACACAGACGTTGAAAGAATAGTTGAATAATGCTCAAGCAACGCTGAACTCTAGGAGAGGACCTAGTTAAATAACGTTTGCCGTTAATTCACGATGCAGGCCAAAGGACATCGTTGCATAAGCCATTTGTACTTTGGCGATGGTTTTTTGACGGTGGCGGAAAAAGTGACTTTTCACGCGATTTACCCTAGCACATGAGGGCGCTACTACTGAACCTTTCACATTGGAGGTGTCATCCCTGTTTTACTGTCTTCTCGATTTATGTTATGCATTAAAAGGATTGCTTGAAATGGTCTTATCTGCGATAACCTTCAAAAAACACGGTGGCACCTGTCGCTGCTGCAGAAGGAGACAGGGTCAACCTCACTTTCAGCCAATTTCTGAAAAATTTCACGATCCCTCTCCCTCCGGTCTCCCACATGACTTTCGACATCATCTCCCTCACCTCCATCACCATGGCTGTTTCTATAGAATTTGATTCGGGTACGAGGTGACATACTCTAACTCCGCCCAGTTCACTTCAAAATCACCATAATCACCATCGAGCGGCGGGCGGGGGATGGGAAGAGAATAGCTATCCGAATCGGCAAATTCAGCTTCCGCATAATTTCGGATACTTGATTTTGTCGTAACTGACGTTAAAAATTCAGAAATTCCTCCATTTCAAAGAACGACAAAAAAGACCCTCAGCTTCTACTGCTCGGATGCTCCAAACGGGCAGCTGATCCTGGGTGAACCCGAAGTACGACCCTCTCTCCACAGTCACAATTACAACCCCTTTCCCACTGTCTCGCTTCCCTTTTCTGGTGTCCGTTAGGAAGGCTTTAGGCGGATTTCGATCATGGAAGACGGTTAGGGGAGGCACATTTTAATAAATGACTGATGAGTACTAACTAGCTCCAGTTTTCCTGGTGAATATGTTTTCATTTGTGAGCGCAAGTAAAGAAACATGGTCTAGGTGATGAAGAAATGGCAAAATATTATTGTTATAAGATTAGGTTTCACATCTCGTGCGTCATTTGAAAAGACCGGCACATTCATACGATGTAGATGCAACCAGCGGCATCTATGAAGTCCTTGAGGTACGTGTGAATTTCACTTATGGTCAATCAGAAAAATGTGCTCCTGGTTTGAGCTGCAGAGCCACCTTTTGCGCGCGCAGAAAATATAGCTCTTAAGCGATCTGCTGTTTTCAAATTTTGTGACTCAAGTAAAGCCATATGTGGTAGACACATTGAAAAAAAAGTGATTAGAAGGAAAATTGATCACTTCTTTCGGACGCACTGACTCGGATGATTCTAACTTTGAAGATGATCTCTTCGCTTGACAAAACGACAAGGTCGTCCTCTGGCTCGCCTCCTCATACTTCGTCTCCGCTGCCAACTAATGAGTACCCAAATTACGGTGAGTTGATTACCGCGATTGCTGTGTTCATATTTTTACTTTACCTGTCTGGTTGTTTTGAAGAACAAGTGTGCCTACCTCCTTGCGTATCTCGCCTGTTGTCCGATAATGTATCGAACCCTTTTTTGCCATCCCCATCTGGTGCCATTATTAACCGGGTGTGGTTCACTTGGACAGAACGCGACTTTTCGCTTTTCGCAGCGCGAAACTTCTTCCACTACGGGAGCCAGATTCTTCCCGATTAGAGTAGACCTAGAGGTTCCCGTAGGGAAAAAGCTTTGCGCTGCGATGAGGGAAAAAGTCGTGCACTGTCCTAGTGGGCCACACCCTTATTTACTACTGTCTCACATGCACGCCGTTTCTTGTGTGTTGTCACTCCTAATAGCTGCGAGTGTAGCCGAATGAGATTAAGTCGCAGGCCATACACTCTTTATCATATCAGCTTTCTTATTAGATATCAGCCAACTGAATGGATCCGCCAAAAGAAGGCTGTCTTTTAGCCCCACTATGCAAGTTGCCGAATGTGGCAGCGAAGAGGTGAGAAAGACAGTAATTGATTAAGTTGATGGGGTCTACTCCAGTTAGGAGGCATCGTGATGCAGCTTATTCAGAAATTCCTAGCCAGGGAGAGGGGGAGTGTCGCCAGCTGGGGGGGGGGATGAGAGCATCACTGAATGCTGAAAACCTGGAATGTTTCAGTTCACCGAGAAACTGCATCATGATGCCACCCCCCGAAATGGAATAGACCCTTCTGATGTTTAATGAGAGGTCAGCGAGCGATGTCGTGCTCTTTTGCAACTTAAATTTGCGCGACATTGCGATGAAACCTCTCGATACCTCCCGTTTTTTTGCTCTTCCCCTATTTGAGGAATGATATTAAGTGGTCACGAGTATTTTTGCAGGTAAGAGAGACACCTTTCATACCGAAACTGCAGTTGGATTTATCAGCACCCTCATCTATTGAACACTCGCCACAAGTAAGCCCGGGTCTTCCAGCTGCTGTGGAATATCGCACAAGAGTAAGGCCACGGTGCCATCAATGCCACTCACGCACAGGTTCTTTGAACGCTGCTGATTTTTTGTATCTAATCATTTTTGGTTGTATAGCCTCACTAATAGTTTATTACCTTTATATGCCTCCTCTCCACAAGGGTCCGGTATATTGTTGATCTCATTGACTGACTTGGGATTCATCCAATTTTTTGTGTTAGTATAATCAGAAGTAGTATTGCACGTGAGAGCTGGACGGTAATGCCATTTGCGGAATTAAATAAGTAAACTTTGGCGCGCTAAGATCACAAGTAGTTGGTCTTTGGGCAGTTGTCAACCGCTCACAGGTCCCCGTCAAACTTTTATTCTTAGTCCCAAATAGTAACAAGGTTGGAACTGAAGCAGTTTGTTCTCTTTCGTATAGTTGTTGTGATAATATGAAATTTACGAGTGGAACTAACTCATTTCTCTTGCTAGTCATAATTTCACGTAAAAGAAGATTATCCATGTCTTCAATGTTGCCATAGTTTGTGTCTTAATGTTAGTTTAATAAATTCTTGTGGGTTCCCGTAGATAGATGTCAAACTTCGCAGCAACCGCGATGGACAGTCGTGGTAAGCTCGTGAATTGATGTTGATCGTTTATTGGTGCCCGGCAGTGACCCAACCCCCTCTACGACTCCGATAGCAAGTCGCGAATTGACATGTACCTCGAGTTTTTTCAATGCTTTATCATAGTACGGCTGTGCAGTAAAAGCTTTACAGAGGTTCAGGCATAGCCTTGAAATGCTCACAAATAAAGCTGCGTGTAAAACCTTCCACCGGCTGCCAGAGGAAGTTCATATTCGTGTTTGTGGGTTTGTTCTACAATATCTTATGATGCTAAGTTTTCGATTTTTGTGCAAAACATTATGTATAACACTTATAATTGGTTATTCATTGCCATGATTATCTTAGTCTGTTTACAGCAGTATAATGGAAAAGTATTGGTAACATTATTTTTATGATCCAAACACAGCTATATTCCTTATATAGACTAGAACAAATCGGTGCTAGCGTAGTTGAGGGGGGCCACGTGGCGCTCTGTTGTCCGAGCCCCAAGGCAGTTAGACGCTCGGCACCACGACACGGCGATGGAGCCGACGCGATTGCGTCATCGCTTGTCCGGTCGCTGCGTGTAAAAAGCGGCCGGTCTTATCGCGGCGGTTATGGAAACGGCATTTCAGGACTAAGTCTTGGAAAACCCAGACGAGCAGACGTTGGGTTGCCCCCCCCCCCTTCTACGCTGGCACCAATAGAATCACAATTGGTGTTCTCTGAAGTAGAGAAAATAGTGAGTTTTAGGTGGCCATGGGGTCTATAATAAGGAGGGAGCACTTGCTGCATTAGTTTTTTGCGCCTGCAGTAATACGATCGTCACTAGGGACAGGAGGCGGCTCCGCCGTCAAATAAAATGCACCGCCGCGGCAATGCACACGCTGTGCCATACCTCACGCGCAACGGGTCTAAAGTGGGGAATGGTGAGGTTGCTAAGTGGTTAACGTTTAAGCAAATGCGAATATGACAGTCTTGTAGGCGGATTGGTTCTGCTGGGAGCATGGAAGAGGTGCAATGTAGCTCGGGGGGGGCACCTCGCAACATCGCGTCAAAATCACGGAAACGCTCCGTTTTAGGACTAAGCTTTTGAAGAGGAGAGGAACTCCGGTGTACGGAAGCAATTTTCGTATTCTCCGGAGTTCGTCCCTGCTGTTTAGGCTTAGTCCTAGATGACTTTTCTCAGAGTGCCCCCCCCCCGAGCCACATTGCGCCATGGAAGTTTAAATTAAGAATTCAGGTTTGAAGGGTTTGGTTGACCTGTATATGGATTAGCCTAAGTTGGCTACTGTGTGAAAAGACGCAGTTTCCGGGATTTACGAAATCTTGTATGTGTCATTGTTAGTGATGAAAGAACTAAATCCAGATGGTGGTTCTCCTATTACACCAGCACATGGGTCGTTATAACTCACAGAAAAGGACTAGACCATCGAACTCTTTAGTAATACCCTTTGTGCACCAGTGGATCGTGGCATGGTGTACGCAGGAGTCAACCTTTCCCTCAGTAAGACTGAGGGAAAGGTTGTTAAACGTTACAGTTAGAACACGGAACTCTGGAGCGAATGAAAACTGCTGACGAGCTCGGATTCCCTTTTTTCAATTAGTCCCAAGACTGGAAGTGTTCGTGAATCTGACGCAATGCTACCTGCTGGCCCGAGCCACATTAAGTCGAGTTCTATTGTGGTCGTGGTATTCTCATCTGACTGCAAAAGAAGCAAAGTCAAAAAATGAAATGAACTGAAATGAACTGCTGACAGCCGTTTTAAGTCCACAGTGGCATGATGAAAGATCCGATACATCGTTCTTTGAGATGTGAAACATTCACAAATTACCTGGCAGACTTGTGCCAAGGCCAGAATGCCAGTGGTGTACTCCTTTCTGTCATAAATCATATTGGACATGGTTTTTAAAACGTTCTTGACCTCTATCTCCATTTTTCAAACGTGTTGCGCGTGAAGGTATAGCACAGTGTGTGCATTGCCGCGGCGGTACATCTTATTTGACGGCGGCGCCGCCTCCTGTCCCTAGTGACGATCCTAAAAGCGAGCAATGATCGCGTTTTGAGGGTGCTGAATCGCGCCCATCGTCCTGACGATGGAGCGCGTTTGCTGACCGTGAACAGGCGGCGAACGGGGATTCTGAAATCTGGACGAACTTTTTTCTTCGTTAAATTTCAGGTAGCTCGGAAGAAGGTGGTGGATTTTGGATCAGCGACGCTCATCCTTCTTAATA